CCAGGAACCACCACCACTTACCAGACATTATATATAGGTGAGAAACCCGGATACTGCTTGAAACGGCGTCCTCGCCACTTATATTTAGCTGGTCGGATATTGCAGGTAGACCGCGGCGATAGGAATGTGCTAATCAGTTAGTATCTTCGTAAATAACGCCGAAATCTATGAGATACGGCCTTTTACTATGAGTACGATTGAGAGGGTGTGGCGACAGGTGGAGGTTAATTTCAAAGGGGTATCTCTCCCTCCCCGTCCATTCCTCTTCCTAATAAAATGCTAATCCCAAGCTAGCTACTTATAAGATCCTCCCTCGTCCTTCCACAAATTGGAGCGCGACGTAGCGAGTATATAATCAACATCGCGTTACGGTCAGGCACAGTAGACGTCCCTATCTTCTTAGGGTATAACACGAGTAAAGCAGCCGTGATACGGATAGTTTCCCCCCTGCAACGAGAGCTGGAGGTCGACGGGTTTAACGATCCGATTTAGCTCTATGCGCTTTATTCAGGCGGTGTGTTGGCTGCTATGGGACGTGGTAAGCTTCTTCCCAGACCACCCTAATCTAGAGTTTGGCTGATGAGAATACAGCGGAAGCAGCGTCTGACGTGAAAGAGAAATACGGGGTCGTGAAAGACGAAGAATTCTATAAAGATCTATTTAAAGACATGCCATTGCTATATAGACAAACATGTGCGTTCCTCGGTTACGGAAAGGGATGAGACTTGCGGGGTTTGTATCTAGATTTTAGATAAGATATTACGAGGTTACTGGCGCTTAAGAGAGAGGGGTTAAAGAATAAGCTCTTAAATACGCTTAATATAAAGTTCTTAAAGGGTTATTATAATAAGTCTTAGATATAAATTTAATACAAGATAATAAATAAAGAGTTTAAAAAGGAATTCGAACCCGACGAATTCCCTAATAAAGAGTATAAAGAGGCCGACTAATACTATAAGTTATTTAAAGCTCAAGCCTTTTTATTTTCTATATATCTCCTCGGCTTTACTTTTAAATACTATTTCCAGATCTTTATATCTTACTTTCCTTAAATCAAATATCCCTATCTTTTTATTCTTTTCTTATCTTTAATTACTATATATAATATTAATTTATATATATTATATTACTATTTAAATGTCTTTCTTTTCTTTTACACTCGTAATACTAAAAACGATTTCTAAGTTATTATAAAAATATATTAAGTTTAAGCTATATATTATTTTATTTTTATATAAGCTACTAAAAGGCTAGTTATAAGAAGAAAGCAATTGCTATATCGATTTCTGGAGCGGGAAGTGTATTATAAGATAGAAAATATTAAGAGACAAATAAATAGTAGGAAATATCTTTTATAATACCCGTTATAACTACTACTTTTCCTTTATTTGCTCTTGTAAGGATTTCGGAGAATATAGCTATATATAGTATATATTAGAGGAAAAGAGATGAAATGCTGAATTATGCTAGATCTATAATTATAATGAGCTTTCGAGCGTTTTAGCTGTAATATATGGATGTAAGAATGTTCAATTAAACCTCAAGTATAGATATCTCACATATTAATTACTTGCAGGAAAGAATTGTAATTTGCTGCAGATCTCAGGATTATTGATGTAAGCCCTATATCGACACGCCCCATTGATTATACATTGGCGAGCATGTCAGATTGGGCACACTTAGTGAAGTGGGGACATTGGGGAAGTGCATATATAAATAAGGGGATGACTTTTGGGAATGCGGGGTACTCAGCGCGGGGTTATTAAGCCGAGGCTCGTTCGCTAAATAGGGGCTGATTACTGTACCCCGCCCCACTACACTCCTCTACCCACAGGTGCTTCTAAGTACTAGGATCTAAAGCATGGGTTAATACAATGTTCATTAGAGCCACTGTGCTTACGAGCTGAATGACTTTGAAAATGCCCTTACTTTAGCTGAGGTTTTAGCTTAAGCGTCTAAGATCGGAATACCAGCTGAAATCAGAGTGTTCTTGATTGTGGGCTGTGGCAGAAAGTGATGAACAACGCTTATTATTGGCAGGGGGCTATATAACAAAGTGCGTACAGCAGATCCGAACTTCTCTCCCAAGCGACCCAGACTACTACGGGAGATTGCAAGAGACAGTTTCAACGCTGTAGCATGGTCAGCAGGAAATCCGTGACGCCCTTACGCAAGACCCAGGCTTCTATGGGTGAGCAGAGACTTCACAGCCGTGTCTAGGGAGTACACAGTCGCAAGTTATATAGTAGGGCTCCCGCAGAAAAGCCATTGGGAAAGGCAAACGCAGTGATATGAGGACGAGGCGCATGGTATTTAAGCCCTCGACTGTAAGCTATACGCTGAAATAATGAACGGGCAGAGTTGGCAAATAGTAATCTAGCCAGGTCGCGTTGCTATGGAGTTTAGTATGTGAGGGGCGTTCTTGATGTACCCCACTAAGCCACGGGCCACTCCACCGAAGAGTGCCAGTGTGGAGAGTCGAAGTTCCGCAATACAAGGCACTTATTAGTATAACTTGAATTAGAGCTATTATACTTATGGATTTAACCATTCTAGGAATACTATAATGAGCTGAAATTGAGCCAAACAAGGACATCAAGGGAACAGCGCTCCGCTTTCACAAGGAGAACCTACTCCTTGAAATTGTAGGAGCGTCATAAGTTTGATGCTATCACAGCAAGTGATATACGAGATCTGGCAATAAAAGAAAATTTTAGCAACGGAAATTCGTTCTGAGACTATTTCGAGGGCGGTGTTATTGCGAACCCAAGTTGCAACCCAGCGACGACCGATGCCACTATCCCAAACGTGAGGGTGAGGAAGAAGATTAATAACCCTCGCTAAAATGTCTAGAACGACATGACATATCTCTTGTCCTTCCAAATTGTCGCCTAATTCCGCTGTGGATTAGGGTACTCATAAGCTATGTCTATCAGACGGTCATGATAGAACGAGAAGTCCCTGAGTTTAGATCTATTATGAGCCGCCAACGGCTCACCCAAAATGCGAAGCTCCAACTTTGTTTTCTCTTCCTCTAGATACTCCGCAGTGCGATCCTCCCGAGAAGGAAGGAGACAGTCTAATGATATAATGGCCTCTTAAATAACCTCCTTGGGTATTGGGAATGGGGCACTGAGACAATAAGTTTGTCAGTTTAGGATTACAAAAGAATTTGCACTCTACTCACGGATTCAGTTGCTGTAATAAAGGTAAGACATCCCAAAACCATTATTTATACTAAAAGAGTTCTAATTTTTTATAGTTCTAGCTTACTTTATTAATATATCTCTTATTAAATTTACTAGAATTAATACTAGAAGTTTATTACTTGTTATAATAAATAATAATATAACTTATATATATAAAAGCTAAATTTTTATATTTCTAATACTTATATTAATAAAATTTATTAGCTTTTTTTAATACTTTAATAATAAAATTAATTCAGGACTTAAAAAGATTAAAGTAAAATAATAATTATTATATTTTTTTAAAATTTAGATTAATAATAAAGAATTCTTTTTATTTTATATATTTTTAATATAATTTTAGCCTATAATATAATTCTCGAAAACCGAGATCTTATTTATAGAAATATTATTTTAATATATATATTTTCAAGAAGTTATATTTTTATTTATATAAGCTTATAAATATAAATATATTTATATTTATAGTTCTTAAAATAAGTTTATTTTAAAAGAAAGCTTAGAAATATACTTTAAAGTCTAATATTAATATTATATATCTTATATTTACTTTTATTAATTAGTAATTAAGACTTATTATTTTTATTAAATATAATATAAAATAATATTTTAAAATTATAAGCTTTTATTAAATTTCTTAAAATTCTCTTTTTATTTTTATAATATAATAAAGTTTAAAATCGGCTTTAATTTTTAATTTTTAATAATTTTATTTTTAATTTATATTTTATATAATATTAATCTTTTATAACTAGTCTAATTTCAAATTTTTATATTTAGTTATTTATTTTTATTCTAAATATTATATTAAATTTTTCTTAAAACTATATTATTTGAAATTATATATATAATTAATAAGTTTATTAAGCTATATAAAAACTAATTATATAATTTTTTATTATATTAAATATTATAATTATTAGTAAAATCGGCTCTTATTTTAAATATTTATACTATATATTAAAGTTATTATAATATTAGTCTCTAATTGAAATTATTTAAAAATAGCCCAAAATATAATATATTTTATTATATTATTAATAAATCTAATTTATTTTCTTTATTTATTATATTAAGCTAACTAATTAATTAATATAACTTTAATAGGCTTTATAACTTATAAAACGAATAGATTTAGTAATATTTATAGAGTTTATATATTATATTTTGGCTTTAGAAAGCCTATAAAGCCTTATACTTATAATGCTTTTCTTATTACTAGATAATACTTATAATTATAACCTTTATAACTATTTCTAATTTTTAAACTTTATAGAACTTTAATAAAATCCTTACTAGAAGTATATTTAAATCGTGAAAATAAAATATATAAGTAATATACGAAAGTATATAAGTTTATAATATAGATTGCTATTTAATTAAAATCGCGATATCCTCACTAAAAAGTGGCAGTTTTGAGGGTATTTGGGGTACTTTACTATCGTTAGGGGGTGACAGCGACAGCGATAGCGACGTTAATAGGGACATCCATGGCCTAATAATTGCCATTAACTAGTTGGCCAGCTTAATGCGGCGGGTGGAGAGGGTAGATCAGATTTACTGATAACACAGCAGGGTATATCAGATTTTAGGCCTTTGAAAACAGGCAGCGGTGCCGTTCTGCTTTGTAGTGGTTGGTGGATGCAGAAGCACGTGTCCAGCCCTGTTCCTAAAGCGTCACCGGTCTCTCACCGATTCAATGCACGCCTTAGCCTTGCCCCCCAAAGCCGTTGCTTAATATTCATATTTGCTTCACCATTCTTTTCGTTTTCTGCCACAGCTCTTTGTCAACTGACTCGCAGAGTATACCATAGGGCATTAGGAAGCAGTGTGACGCCGTCTCATTCCTGGCCGAGTTCCAACATCAAAATGTCCGACAAGATCCGAAAACCATCCCGAACCCACGATTCCTCTTTCACAGAATGTCATATCCGGGACGTCGAGGAGCTTGGAGCTGACCTGAATGAAGCCGTCCAGGCAGTATGGCCGAAGCGGCACAGTATTCGGTATTCCCAAGTCCGTGTCTTGCTTCTATCATGGGAAGCCGACGACTTGGGAGTTGAGGCTGAAATTGAGCCCCTTCGAAGAGTGCTTAAGGACAGATACCATTTCAGCGTGCGAGACTACAAGATCCCTAGCATAAAGCCTGACAGGGCCCTCAAGAAGCGAGTCTATGACTTTCTCGAGGGAGAAGAGAAAGACACGCTCCTGATAGTCTATTATGCTGGGCATGCCAGGGGTGCGTTGCAGTCAAATGAGGCTTCATTGTGGTTTGCGTAAGTAGTGGAATATCCCAGCTGGCAACGTAAGCTGATAAGACCAGTAATCGCAACGATCCTTACACGGTAGTACCGTCCGGTGGTATTCAGTCCATGTTTGAGGAGGCCGATGCCGATGTCGTTCTCCTTTGTGATTGTTGTCACTCGACCGCTATTCCCACTACCGACTCTCAACAACGAAGCAACAAAGTTATGGAAGCGATTACAGCCTGCGGGTACGAAGCCATTGCAGCCGAAGTCGGAGACCACTCTTTTACGAGGGCTCTTACCCATACTCTTGCTATCGCGTCAAAAGGTCTGCCATTCACTATCAGCGAGTTGCATGTTCGAGTTGTTAGCAAGCTGAAATGTTGGGCGCCCGAATTGCTGAAGGGCGAGGATGGCAATTATGTTGATATGGCTGAAAATCGGTTACTGTTCGAGCAACAACCCAGACGGACACCTATTTTCACGGGTGTGTGTAGGGCCAGTCCAAATCGAAGCATTGTCCTCGCACCACTTGGCACCGTATATCCGTCGCCGGCGGAATCTGAAGATGAAAAGTACAGTGTTGCCTCCTCCGGAATTTCGCTAGTAAGTCTAGACATTAACGAGAGGGAGAGATCTAATACCCACCCTGGTGAGGGTCAACCCCAAAAAGGCACGTGGCCTTATGAGGAGGGACGATACCCTTTCATCCTGTTGGCCGCACGGCTCGAGAAATGCTACAATAAACAAGCTTGGCTGGAATGGGTCCGTAATGCTCCTGCCGACGTGAAAGACTTCCATATTGAAGGTGCATATGTCAGTTTCTCGACCTTGTTACTATTGCGGATTCCTATGACCGTATGGAACTTACTGCCCAGCAATCCAGCATACACCTTTATAGGGTACGTTTCTTCTGGCAACTATGTTACGAGTGATCCAGCAGAGTCTAGCACATCATGCCCTTGCGGAGACGCTTGTGCCAACTGTAATACGGAAGGTATTCCACCCCCAGTCTTTGGGGCGAGAGTCCAATGATGCAGATGCTGACAAAACTAGCAATAGAAGATATTTACTCAGCGGATGATCTGAAAGAATCCGAATCCCATTGTGGGGATAAAGGCTTATCCCCACGGATCGAGGACCCACCTCCTACGAAGACCCACAAAGGGAAGACACGAAATGTATTCGCGCCGGGAACTCAGTATCACACGGCATCTAATGCACCCTCCGCCGAAATATCCCAGACGATTGGGATGGCAAATAGAAAATTGGAGGTCTCCATTACAACCTCATCCGCGTCCGCGCCAAAGCCGATCAGCGGAGGACCAGATTCTGAGTTTGATAATTCTCAAGTGCCAACCTCTCCGGGGTCTCCCCTTTCTGAGGACCCGTGGTCAGATCTTGAGTCATCGTCTTCTATAACAACTGCGGAGGTCGGTACCAGCAACCCTGGTAGCCGATCTCAGACTCCGCGGCTCATCTCGGCTGGGTCCAGACACCGGAGGAGCGGTGGAGGCCTGGCAAGGTTCGATAGGAAGGGTTGGTGGGTCTGCTGCAAGGATTACCGCGAGGTAAATATAAATCTATGGGGCGAGTGCTGCCCTGACGACCAACACCGAAGGTGCTCATCCTGCATTAGGTTGTGAGAATGCTTGAATGTATTTCTTTTACAAGAGTACAAGGTTTTCTCATCCGGAAATGCCTAAAGCAAATTGAGTCCGAGTATTTTATACTATATATAAATAAATAGCTTCTTATTACTATTTCTTAGTATTTATATTACTTTTATATCTCAAATTTTTCTAGATAAAAGTAATTTATTTAGAAGTTCTAATAGAAATAATCTAGTAATATAATACTAATAAATACTTTAAATATTTTTATATTTATTATTCTAACTAAATGATTTCTTTTAGGATTAGAAGATTTATATTAGTTTTAATATTTTAAAATTAAAATTAGTTAGTTTATATATAAGAAAAATTAAAACAAAAATAATTTTCTTATTTTATTAATTTTTAATATTAAAATATTAATACTACTAGTTAGAAAAGAAATTAATATATAGTCTATAATTAATTAAATACCTGAAAAGTAATTAAATACCTAAAAAGCAGATATATAAATAAAGTAGTTTTAAAAAACATATATTATTAAAAAGCTCTTTTACTAAAATTATATAATTAATAACTTAATATTAAATAATAGATAAATAGCTATAAATTAGATACCTATCCCTTATACAAGGCCCCTTTTTTGGTGAAAGGTAAGAATGCCCGTATACTAATTAGTATATATACTACTAACTAATATACTTTCCGGTAAAAGGGATTTCGGTAAAGGGGCACTTCCCCTATTACCTTTTAATAAGCATTCCCTTGTCTCGAAGCGTATTCTCGTTATATTATTATATAATCTAGCTTATAGAGTTGCTATCTACCATACCTATAAGTCCTGTATTATCCTAGAGGTATATAGTTAAGAGCAGTACCTGTAAGTATAGCTATACTAACTCTTGGGAGACGAACTCAAGGCAACTATAAAGCTTCTTAGTAGCTATAACTTGAGGGGTATGGCCGAGCTAAGAGAGTATAAGCCCTAGCCTGAAAACAAATACTAGATAACTGAGTACCTAGTTAGCTATAATAGCGTTTACTATCTATAGCCGTAGTATAGCTATAGTACCTGCCTATAGGGCCGGGTCTTATATATTAAAACAAGGAATTACTTTACAAAACTCTATTGCCTAGTATAGGCTAAGTAAGAACTAACTGCAATTAAATAGCAGTTACTAAAAGGCCCGATAGTATAATAATAGTATATAGAGTTAGTAAACTCTATAGCCTAGGTTTGATTCCTAGTTAGGCTCCTGATTTGCTTCTTAATAAATACTCTTATAGTATTTGGCAATAAGTAGATCCATTTTTTTTAGTCTTGTTTTTTAAGTAAGAGATACTATATAGGGACACTAGTCTAGCTTTAAGAAGTATATAAAGCCCTCCTCGCCCGCCCTTTGCCTCTCCTTCTCTTTTTCCCTTTTCTTCTCCTGCTTACTTCTTCTCTAGCCACTTCTTTTTCTCTTCTCCTTACTTCCTCCCGATTAAATAAGTAAGGAGTAGAGGTAGTATAAGAACCAGAATAGCAAAAGAATTAGTAGCCAGTTATACTCTAGGGTTTTACTCCCTAAGCTTTTCTATACAGGTCATTTTATTAGGTACCTATCCCGGGGGGAAATTACTTATATTACCTGCCAGGGCTTTAAATCTATAATTAGCTTACTAGTATAGTATACTCGAGACTATTTATAGACCGACTACCCTGCTTCCTCCTTCCAGAAGGCTATTAATACCCGAAATAGTAATAAGGAGGCCGGAGCTTCCGTTATATTATAGCTAAGGGATTACTATAATAGTAAGGATATATATAGTTAGTTCTAACTATATTATAAAGGCTTGATATTAGGCTTTTAGTAAATCAAAAAAGCTTATTTTAATATATATAACCTAGAGCTAAAGTAAATGCAGTTATATACTCGCTTAAGTTATATAACTATATTTACTCGAGGCATTCTAGTAAAATCCACTAGCTAATTTAATTATAAGTACTATAAGCTAGTAGGATATATAGCCTAGCTTAAATTAACCTAGTTCCTTTAAAAAAAGAAGTTATATAATTATATATTACTTAGGCCCTCTCTTACTTAGAAATAAGAAATTAGTTTCTAGATTCTATTATATAATATAAGCTAAGTAAGTATATTATATACTTTTTTATAATATCTTAAATTTAATTCTTTATAGAACTCTTATCTTTTTTATTCTTTTTACTTTTCTTTATTATTTAAATTTTTAAAATAATTTATAAAACTTAATATATTTATTTTTCTAATAGTCTAATCTAATTAAATATTAAAAGAAAATATAAAATTAGAGTTTAGATTCTAAGTTTATTAGAAATAAATAAAAGAAATTAATCTAGTATTATTATAAATATAAATTATATTAATATAATAAATTACTATAAATAATTTATATAATAATAATAAAAAAGAAAGAAAACTTAAAAATATAAAAGAAATTCTAAAATTAAAATATATTTTATTTATAATATTTAAATTATAAATAAAAGAAAAAATAAAAAAAATAAAAAAAGAAATAGAAAAGAAAAAGAAATAAGAATTTATTTAAAAGAAATAAAAGAAATTTTTTATATATTAAAGAAAAAAATATAAGAATTAAAATTAAAGAAATTTAGTACTATATATAAAAAGAAAATATTTAAATTATAAATTAAATTCTAAGTATATTTTTAAAATTTAAAATATTAAAAGAATAAGAAAAAAAGAGAAATAAAATATAAAAAGAATTATAAAAAGAAGTAAGAAAAAAGATAGAAAAGAAATTAAAGAAATATAATAAAAGAAAAAATAATAATAATTAAAATAATAAAGAAGAGGGAAAAAGAGAAAATTAAAAATTAATAAGAGAAAATAAATAAAAGAAGAAAATAAATTAAAAAAGAAAATAGATAAAAGAAAAGAATAAGTTAAATAGTATTATAGTTATATTTTTTTCGTAATAGAAATTAGCTTTATATATTCGGATTAAGAAGTTCTAGATAGGAATTTAAATAAATTAAATAATATTATAAGGTAATAATAAGAAGTATTATATAATTATAAGTATAAAAATACTATTTGAATTAAGTATAAAGCTTTAAATATAATAGAAAGTATTTTATTTATATAGACTTTTTATATTATATAAATTCTATATATTTTTATAAATTATATAGAAATATTTAGAATTTCTCGAGATTTCTTATATAATCTAATACCTGTAATTTCTATTTAAGGATCTATAATATAGTAAGTACTATATTAAATCTATAATAAATAATAAGGAAAAAAGAAGAAAAAAACGAATTTATAAAAGAAGTAAAATTAATAAGAGAAAAAGAGTTAAATAGAATTTCGTAAAATATAAGATTAATTAAAAGAAATAAAATATATAGAAAATATAAGCTAAATAATAATAATAATTTAAAGGAAAGTAAGTTAGATATAATAAATATATTAAAAGAAAGAGAAATTAGAACTAAAAATAGAAGTAATAAATAAAAAAGAATATAAGAAGTAAATAAGAAATAATTAAGAGAAAAGATAATTAATAGAAAGAATAAATAAAAGAAAAGTTTTATAAGCTAAAGAAAGTTATAATAAAAGAAGAAATATAAGTCAAATGCCTGAAAAGCGGATATATAAGTAAGGCGGTTTTGAAAAACATATATTAGTAAGAAGCTCCCTTACCAAAATCATATAATTAATAACTTAATATTAAATAACGGGCAAATAGCTATAAGTTAGGTACCAAAATAATTATATATTACTAGGTTTTTAAAAGGTTATAGCTATATATTATATATTAGTTATATAGTAGATTAATTACGATTTTATAATAAGAGTATATATATTAAAAGCCAAAAAAGTATAATATATATAATATTAGTAATAACTTAATAAATAATAGGCAAATAGCTATAAGTTAAATACCGAAATAATTATATATTACTAAGTTTTTAAAAGGTTATAGCTATATATTATATATTAGTTATATAATAGATTAATTATGATTTTATAGTAAAAGTATATATATTAAGAGCCAAAAAAGCATAATATATATAATATTAATAATAACTTAATAAATAATAGGCAAATAGCTATAAGTTAGGTACTAAAATAATTATATATTACTAGGTTTTTAAAAGATTATAGCTATATATTATATATTAGTTATATAGTAGATTAATTACGATTTTATAATAAGAGTATATATATTAAGAGCCAAAAAAGCATAATATATATAATATATATATTTTAATAAAACTAATATTATATTATTAATAACTTTCTTTATATTAGTTTAAGGCCCTAAAAGGCTATGAATTAAGTATTAAATTAATTATATATATTATAATAAAAAGTATATATTTTAGGATTTAATATATTATAATATATATAATAAATTTATTACTAAGAGTTTGGAACTTACTTAAAGATTAAGGCTAGAGATATTTCCTAAATCTAAACCCCTTTTACTTTTAGTATAATTAATAATAATTTTTTTAGATATTACTTCTAAATAAGCTAATTCTTTAATAGCCTTTTATTCCTGAACCCTTAGTAAATTATTACCGGATTTTAATCTTTTATTTCTAAATCTAATTCTCTAAGAATACTTTACCTAAAGAAAAGTAAAGAAGAAAAGAAAGAAATAAGATATAAAAATAATATAACTAAATAAATATACTAGCGGGAAAAGTATTAATAAGTTCCAGATCCTAATTTAATAAGTTATTATTTACTTACTTATATTTCCTTAAGCTTCTTCTATTTATTATAGATTTAATAACTAATATATGCCTTTTCCTAGCTTCTTTAAATACTATTTAGTAATCTTCTCCTTAATAACCTCCTCCTTAATAACCTTTTCCTTAATAACCTTTTCTTCCTTTATAACCTCTTTCTTTAGATATACTAACCTCTTTAATTCTAATTATATAATAGCCTAATTCTTTATATATATTGCCTTCTTATTATATCCAAGAATATTTAAATACTATAAGTACTTTAAGTATAGAGCTACTTGGCTTCCAAATACTATTAATTTGACCTCGAAATATATAAGAATTATTAATTAGATATTA